CATTAACTTATCGAACGAAATTAACGAGCCGAACACGAGCTTCTTAACGAGCCGAACACGAGCTGTTCGTGAACAACAAGCCATTTTGACAGCCCTATTTCCGACTTCCTGTCTACTCTGTACTTGCATGGTAATTGATGCAAGAGTACTCATACTTTCTTGATTCGATTATTTAGATATAGATGATTATTTGTTGTTGATCACGATAAATTCTTTTTTTTTCTATTTATATTACTTTTACTCCTATTAATCAATGTTTAGGTTTAATATTTATCATATATATATATTATATATATATATCTGTGTGTCTGCGCCCGCACGCGCCGTATGTCGTGGTCTTTTGGTTGGTGGGGTTCACTATAAGTCCTCTCATGTTCCGAGTTCGATCTCCAGTATATGTGCCGCAAGCCGTGGGCAACTTGACTTGGCAAACATTCCTGTTTGTATTTGATATCTCTCAGAGGTTTGCCTTTAGTTATGGCTGAAGTTAATCCTATTGGCGTTGTGACCAAGGCTCAATGGACCAAAGCCACATATGTGGGTGTGGTGGGAAAGGGTCACGATACTCTTAAAAATGTTGAAATATTGGTTTTCCCCAAAACTTTTCATGATGCAGCTTTGCGGAAGGACCCTTGCCCTCTTATCAACTCACTGTGTGTTAAAGATGACAAACCTGCTATTTTCTACAAAGAGGAGGATCTGCATACTCTGAAGGTTGATTGTAAATCCATCTTGGAAAATTCCAGCTTGGTCATCCCAAGCTGGAAATTATAAGAAGGTACTTTGAAGGTTTCCTTTTCAATGGAGCTTTGAAGGTGGGGCTGGTAGATGGCCGACACATTATGATCAAACTAGCATTGGAAGACGATTATGATTGATTGTTTGCAAAAAAAAATAGTTACAATGGAAGGAGTCTCTATGAAGATTCTTAAATGGACCCCCAATTTTGATCCAAGTAAGGAGCCCGCTAATGTGCCCATTTGGTTCAAACTACCAGGTTTGCCTCTGCATTTCTTAAATCATAATGTCCTCTTTAAATTTGGACTTGCCTGGAAAGACCATTGAAGATGGATTTCCCTACTTTCAACCTCTCTAGGCTTTTAGTGGCTAGAATTTTGGTGGAGAGGGATATCACTCTACCTGAGGTAGAGGAGATTTGGTTAGGGTCTAAAGAGGAGAGACATTGGCAAAAGATTGTCATGGAGCAGAGGCCTTACTATTGCCAACACTGTAGAATGTTTTTCCATGCCCAAGATAGATGCTACAGGCTTCATCCCAATCCTAAGAAAAAATCTATAGGTTATAGGATTGAAAATATAGCTCCTGCTGCAGTTGAAAATTTGATTACTGGGAGTCATGTGATAGTGAATTCTTTTGAAGGGGTGATAAAACCCCCTACTATCCTGATACAGTCTGAAATTGTAACTTCTAATTCTGCTGAAGTTGTCAAAGTAGTAGAACAGCCTCCTACACATCAAAATTTGCAATCTGAACCTCCCAAGGAAATCAGTGCCCCTATTGAACTACACTCTTTGGTGGATGTCCCTTGCCTTCCTAACCTTCCTTTGGCACTTATGGCACCCCCTGGGGCACTGTTGGAAATGAAATAGGAACTGGAGCTGGATTGGCAAATTCAAA